GCTCTCGCGAAATCTTAAGAAAACCATAGGTTTTTACCTAACAGCTTTTGCTGATAGGTTTCTAGTGGTGTCAAAAGAGAGCATCATGACTCCTCAGGGGGGTCTGGGCGGGTGCCGGGGAGGAGAACCGGGAACAGAACCGGGCTCGTTTTAAGCCAACAGTCACACACTTCGTGCTCTTCGACCTCCCAGAACTCCATTCCCGGGCCACATTTTGAATAACCGGAGCCAACAGTCATACACTTCGTGCTCTTCGACCTCCCAGAACTCCATTCCCGGGCCACATTTTGGATGCCCGGAGCCAACTGTAGGCCACTTCGTGCTCTTCGACTTCCCAGAACTCCATTCCCGGGCCACATTTTGGATGCCCGGAGCCAACTGTAGGCCACTTCGTGGTCTTCGAGTTCCCAGAACTCCATTCCTGGGCATGATTTTGAATGCCCGGAGCCAACTGTAGGCCACTTCGTGTTCTTCGAGTTCCCAGAACTCCATTCCCGGGCCACATTTTGAATGCTGAGGCAGGCTGATGCTGAGGCAGGCTGAGGCTGAGGCTGAGGCTGCAGGCTGAGGCTGAGGCAGGCTGAGGCTGAGGCGAGGCTGAAGGCAGACTGAGGCTGAGGCTGAAGCAGGCTGAGGCTGAGGCTGAGGCAGGCTGAGGCTGAGGCTGAGGCAGGCTGATGCTGAGGCAGGCTGAGGCTGAGGCTGAGGCTGATGCAGGCTGAGGCTGAGGCAGGCTGAGGCTGAGGCCGAGGCTGAAGGCAGACTGAGGCTGAGGCTGAAGCAGGCTGAGGCTGAGGCTGAGGCAGGCTGAGGCTGAGGCAGGCTGAGGCTGAGGCTGAGGCAGGCTGAGGCTGAGGCTGCGACTGTGACTGCCGTTGCCACTGCGACTGTCATCGCGAATGCGACTACGACTGCGAGAACAGCAGAATTCTACAACTGGATTCTCATCTGAATCTTAAGGGGAATGCTTCCAGATATGCTCCTACACATCGCTGTTAGGTTGCTTTGCCGGGATAGTTCAAGATTTTCATAAAATGCTATTCAACGGGCTTCGCGCGCGCATGTCGAAACCGGTCGAACGCCCTTGCTCGTGTGCCGTCGCGAGAATCCCCTGCAAAAAATGGGACAAAGTGCAGACGCGCGCGTCGTCGCGCGCGCATGCCGAAAACCTTCAAAACCCATCGGTTTCGGAAGGATTTCAAAAGCGTGTCTCCAAAAAACCTACAAAAGCACAAGGTTTCGCAACACGGATTTTCAACAAAAGCGTGCGCGCGCGCTTTTGCGTCGTCGTCGTCGTCGTCCTCCCTCTTCCCTTGTCGTCGTCGTCGTCGTCACCGTCGTCGTCTTCTGTCTTTCCTCGTCGTCGTCGTCGTCGTCGTCTTGGCGTCGTCGTCGCTTCCGTCGTCGTTGTCGCCGTGGTCGTCTTTCCTCCCTCGTCGTCTTCGTCGGCGTTTCGTCGTTGTCCCTCGTATTTCGTCGCCGTCGTCGTCGTCGTCGTTGTCGTCGTCGTCGTCGTCGTCTTCACTCCTCCCTCGTCGTTATCCTCCTCCCTCGTCGTCGTCGTCGTCCGTCGTCGGCGTCTCGTCGTCGTCCCTCCTGTTTCGTCGCCGTCGTCGTCTTCGTCGTCGTCGTTGTCGTCGTCGTCGTCTTCCCTCCTCCCTCGTCGTTGTCGTCGTTGGCGTCGCCGTCCTTCCTCCTTCTTCGTCGTTCGCGTCGTCGCCGTCTTCCCTCCTCCATCGTCGTTGTCGTCGTTGTCGCCGTCGTCGTCCTCCCTCCTCCCTCGTCGTCGTCTTCGTTGGCGACGTCGTCGTCTTCGTCGTCGTCGTCGTCGGCGTCGGCGTCATCGTCGTCTTCGTCGACGTCGACGTCGGCGGTGTCGTCGTCGTCGTTGTCGGCGGCGCCGTCGTCGCCGTTGTCGCTGTCGTCGTCGGCGTCGGTGTCGTGGCCAAGTGCCATGTGGTACCTATCGTCACGGTCTTGTCTTAAGAAGTCTTACGACCAAGTTGCGGGCGGGTGGGTGGGATGTTTGTGCGAGCAGTGGAGGTGGTCAGGCGCGGTGCAGGGTAGTCAATTCTCCTTTCTAAAAAGAGAATGGACTCTATCCCCCCCCGGATTTATCGCCTCCCCCTAGGATAGTATGGTTTTTATATATATATATAAATACATATATTCTGCACACTCGTCCATCCTAAATATGAAATCATACCATCCCAGCTAGGCCGGGTTCCCCCCCCCTGAGGTTCCCTTGTAAAAAACACTATGCGGTGACATTTTTGTTCTAACATAACACGTTTTCACGAATCCCTTGCAAAAAATTGGGCGAAGTGCACACGCGCGCGTCGTCGCGCGCGCATGCCGAAATCGTTCAAAAACCTTCGGTGCCGGAAGAATTTCGCAATCGAGTTCCAAAAAACATACAAAAACACATGGTTTCGCAACACTGATTTGCTAAAAAAGCTTCCGCGCGAGCTCTTGCGAAATCTTACGAAAACCATAGGTTTTCCAATATTTTCACAAAATTCTACCAAACGGGCTTCGCGCGCGCATGTCGAAACCGGTCGAACGCCCTTGCTCGTGTGCCGTCGCGAGAATCCCCTGCAAAAAATGGGACAAAGTGCAGACGCGCGCGTCGTCGCGGGCGTATGCCGAAAACCTTCAAAACCCATCGGTTTCGGAAGGATTTCAAAATCGTGCGTCCAAAAAACCTACAAAAACCCAAGGTTTCGCAACACGGACTTTCAACAAAAGCGTGCGCGCGCGCGCTCTTGCGTCGTCGTCGTCGTCGTCGTCGTCGTCGTCGCCGTCCTCCGTCCTCCCGCGTCGTCGTCGTCGTCGTCGCCTACGTCGTCCTCTGTCTTTTCCCGTGTTCGTCGTCGTCGTCCTCTTTGGCGTCGTGGTCGTTTCCGTCGTCGTTGTCGACGTGGTCGTCCTTCCTCCTCCTCCCACGTCGTCGTCGTCGTCCGTCGTCGGCGTCTCGTCGTCGTCCCTCCTATTTCGTCGCCGTCGTCGTCGTCGTTGTCGTCGTCGTCTTCCCTCCTCCCTCGTCGTTGTCGTCGTCGGCGTCGCCGTCCTTCCTCCTTCGTCGTCGTTCGCGTCGTCGCCGTCCTCCCTCCTCCCTCGTCGTTGTCGTCGTTGTCGTCGTTGTCGCCGTCGTCGTCCTTCCTCCTCCCTCGTCGTCGCCTTCGTTGGCGACGTCGTCGTCGTCGTCGTCTTCGTCGTCGTTGGCGTCGGCGTCGTTGTCGTCGTCGAAGTCGTCGGAGACGTCGTCGGTGTCGTCCTGGTCGTCGTCGTCGGTGTCGTCGTAGTCGGTCTTAACAGGTTTTGCAAACCAAGTTGCGGGTGGGTGGGTGGGATGTTTGCGCGAGCAGTGGAGATGACGACTTCAAGTTCAGCAGAGTGGATTGCACCACATATATTGCACCACTTAGACTGTACAACGCGTAAAAATGTTGTATACGCATAGGTCTTCACTCACACACACATATATATACACATTTATATTGCACACCATAGATAAAACAACCCATATTATACAACATATACTGCACCACATAGAGTGTTCCACATATATTGCTTCACACATAAATGCACCACACATATTGCACCACATAGATTGGGCAATATACATTACACAAGCTCGATTGTACCACAAACATTGCACCACATATATTGCACCACATGGATGGTGCCACGTACATTGTACCACCTAGATTGTACGACATGTATTGCACCATCGATGTGGCGCAACATGCATATGTGTATGTGTATGTATATATATATATATATAGAGGGGTATACGGCACACCACAGATTGCACAACACCGATTGCACAACATATATTGCACCGCATATAGTGCTCCACATAGACTGCTGCACATACGCATCACACACATTGCTAGAACCGCGCTGTTTGGGGTCCACGCTGGCTAACATCTTTTGGCGCACAAGAGGTGCAATTTTCGGCCTGGGGATGTGTGCATCACAGAGGGGCCACCAGACTTGCGACAGGGCCCTCATTGCCGAAGTCGGGGGCGGGTGGAGCGCCCGCCTATCCAGAGAGCCGCTGTAGAGCGCACCGAGGGCACAACCTAGAGCACAACCTAGAGCACAATCTAGAACACAATCCATTTTATGGTAGTCAGGCGTGCATTCGCGGTCGTAAATAAAAAAGAAATATACTTTTTTTCTGGACGGGTCCAGTGCATCCTTCTCTGAAGAAGCGTATGACCTCGTGAGTTGTGCCCTGGGTTCTGCTCTAGGCAGTGCTCTAGGTTGTGTGCTCTAGTTCTGTTCTAGTGGTGCTCTAGATGGGCCGCGAATCTTAGGCGCAGGTCGCGGGTGGGGATCGCGGTCGCGGGTCGAGTCGCAGGTCGCGAACAGAAATCATCATCGCAACCTTCTTCGCGTCACTGTATGACGCTGGCGCGGGGTAGGTACCCTCCCTTCCACCCCTCACCATTGCGCATAGCCCCTCTCTATTCGCACAGCCGGATGTTGAAGAGGACATTGACCCACAAAGGTTGCGCGATGCATACCACTACATACCATGGCATAGGAGAGCACGACATAGCGAAACCCGGCATAGCATGGTGTGACATTTCATAGTCAACCGTTGCATATCATAGCCCTGCATCGCAAGCCATGGCATGATATCGCTGTGCGTATGAGCATTACATGGAATGCCATGGCATGTCACGGGGCAACCTTGCATGGCACGGCATTGTGTAGCCCAGTATTGCATATCAGAGCCATCAGAACTATCAGAGAGAGCACCGACACTCTTCCCGAACCGCCGGTAATATCGAAACACTTGTAGGAACCAGTTGGACGATCCGAAAACGTCATCCCTCCCCCTCCTCCTTTGCCCAGCATGTCCCCTCCTCCCTCCTCCCTCCTTCATCCTCCATCCTCCACCTTCTCTCCTCTCCTTCATACCCCTCCTCCTCTCCCTCGTCTTCCTCCTGTTTCGACGACGACGGCCTCACGCCAGCGCGCCCCAGGTGCCCGCTGCACGGGGTCCTCCGATCGAGAGGCTCGCGGCTGGCGGCCCCGCCGCTCCCCCCCCCTCCCCCTACCCTTCCGTCGTCGCCGTCGGGGGGGGGAGCAAGAGGATGTTGTAGGAGGTGGGGGATGCCACATGAGGAGGAGAAACCACATAAGAATGAGGGAGGGAGATAGGGATGGATGAGGAGAGGGAACTGGGGAGGATGAGGAGGATGGGGATGATGATGACGATGATGATGATGAGGATAAGGATGAGGATGTGATGGTGATGTTGATGATGATGAGGATGAGGGTGAGGATGAGGATGAGGATGAGGACGAGGATGATGAGGATGACGAGGATGAGGATGAGGATGATGAGGATGATGACGATGATGACGATGATGGTGATGGTGATGGTGATGGTGATGGTGACGATTATGATGGTGATGGTGATGGTGATGGTGATGGTGATGGTGACGGTGATTGTGAGATAGTGCTTGGGTCACGTGTGTATATGCACCACTCTCTTCCGTTTGACCTCTAGGGGCCTTTTTTGCCATTGCGCCAAAACGCATCTAAGCACACTGGTAGCGGAGCTACCACACGATCCCCGTATCGTACCACTGCGCGCACGTCTCGTCAGAGAGTGTCGCACTACCTATCTTTACTTTCTGTATTGGCAGTTTCCCTCGCTGGGGGACTGAGCCTTGCGCCATGGCACTTTCTTCTCTTCGCTATCGGCCGAGCGCCGACGCGCTGACGCGGTCTGAGACGAAGAGTGGCTCCTACATGTACGACGGCACGGTGAACAATTTTCACGAGTGGGAATTCCGCGCAGAGATGCGCATGAGTGCCGCCTTGGCCTCAGTGGATCAAGAGACGGGTGCACCACAGCAACACGTGATCACCGCAGCTGCCAACTAGGTTGTAGAAGGCCTCAGAGGTGACGCGTTCGATATTGCCATGGATATCGGTAAGGGCGTGCTTCTGACTCCGAATGGGATCGACCAGCTGGTGCTGGCGATTCGTACTTCATTCTTCCCCGTAGAGGCGCAGGAAGCGAAGATCCTGTTCCAGGTGGGGCAGAGACGATAGGGACCACTGTCTCGGCATAACGGTGAGCCTATGGTCTCGTACATCTCCTGAAGAGCGCCTGTGGAAACTTGTCTCCAAGTTAGATCCTAAGATCTTGATGAGCGAAGAAATCCTTGGTTCCATTCTCTTGGACCATGCAGGCCTCTCGCCTTCGGAGAATCTGATGGTGTTGGCATCCACAAGAAATGTGACATTCTTCGACAGTATCAAGGGCGTCTTGATCCTCCAGCGCGGCCGCGTACACATCCGCTAAAGGGCAAGGGTGGATCTGGTAAAGGCTCCAGCTCTTCGACGTGGACGCAGCCCAGACCCAGCTACCAGAACAGGAGCAAGGGCAAAGGCAAGGTTCACTTCTCCAGGCCACAACGCGCCTTCTACACTGCTGGTGATGGATGGTGCGAGCAGGAGGAGCATTTCCCTGAGGAGTTGAGCCCCTATGGGTACTACGCGTCCGGCTATGCGCCAGAGCACGGCTTGGACGACGCGGCCTGGGGCGAGTACGCCGACGAGCGCACCTACGTCGACGAGGAATCGCATGCTCACCGCTGCGCTCCCGTCCAGGACAGCGGCGAGCTCGAGGTCGAGGTGGTCGACGAGATGGTCAAGGCCGGATGCGCGGAGGAAGAAGCCTCTGACGCGATCCAGGAGGACCTGGTCGCCAACCTTGGCACCGAAGGGAGAGGCAAGGGCAAAGGCGGGGGCGAGGGTTGCCACTGCGTGCCCTGGTCGCCCACGGGAGGCGGCAAGGGGGGGCCTTCCTTGGAAGCTCGCAAGAAGCGGCTCCAGGATATCAAGAAACGCTCGACATGTAAGACCTGCCGCGAGACAGGCCACTGGTCCGGGGGCCCTGATTGCAAGGGCGAGCCCAGGGCGGCAGTGGTAGTGTACACTGGAGACACTGGCCTCTTGGATCGTCTTGGGGGCCTCTTGGGCCTTGGGGCACTCTTGGCCCGTCTTGGGGCTTCTTTGGGCTTTGGGATTCCCCGGGGGGGCGGGGTAAAAACCCGGCCCCCCCCCCCCCAGACCCCCCCCGGGCCCCCCCCCCCCGGGCGGGGGAGGGATCAAAGGGAAGGGGCTTCCCCTTCGACTCAATTTCGACGTTGCTCAATTTTGCTTTGGACTGGCACGCCTCAGGAGGAGGCCCTGGGAGAGGGGTAGAAGCAACGACGCTGTGGGGAAAGGGGAAGGAACGACGACGACGACGACGGCGAAGAGGGAACAGACGGAGAAGCCTCTTCCACGCGCCGACAGGGTCGGCGGATTCTGGGCCGTCTTGGGGTTCTCTTGAGGCCATTTTGGGGCCTATTGGCTTATATTGAGGTTCTTTCGGGCAGTATTGATGCCTTTTTGACCAGTCTTGGGGCGATTTTGGAGCCCTCTCGGGCGGTCTCGTTCGCCCGGAAGACAGAATAACCGAACGTATGACAATTCTACAACATCCAGCAACACATTTTTTTGTTTGCGTTTCGAGGGCCTCTGAGGTGTTTTCTTTGAGCCGTCTTCGGGCGTCAGGTGCGTGTGTGGGGCCGCTTGGGGCTCTCGTGGGCCGTGTGGGTATTGTCCCGACCGCTTGAGGCGCGCCGGCCAGGTCCTGGCAGGGGTGTCCAGGAGGCCAGGAAGTCCCGGGAGATCCTCTGCAGGGGTGTCCAGAAGGATCCTGGGGCCAGAGATTTTGGTGGTCCCCATTCCGGAGGGGGGGCGCCGCAGGGTTTCAGATCAATAAACATACGTGTAAGGAAAGCGATCGATATGTTTGTGCGTGCGCGGTAATGATTGGTTTTCTGGCGTATCTGGCGAGAACAACACTTTCACGATTGTATGATCGTAAACGTGTATGTTCAAGCTCGTCCTGCAGGAGCTTGGACTCAGCGCCCTTCCCCCGGCGGGCAGTGCATGGATCACGCGCTGCAGCTGGGGTGCGCCGCGCTGGGTTCGCTGGTCGCTTCGTCTGTGAGGCGCCCGACTTGCGTGTGCGACTGCGCGCCGCCCGCGCCCGGCGAGGGCGTCCTCGAGCTGCTGGGTCAGCAGCTCCAGCGGTGCGGGCCCGAGCGGCTCACCGCCTGCCCTGAGGCTGCGGCTTGCCCAGTGGCGCCTGAGTGCCTGGGGCTGCTGGGCCCCTTGCTAGCCGCCTTCGCGGGCGGCGCGCTGGTGGGGTGTATGCTGGCGGTTCTCGTCGTGGTGGTCCTCGGCGTGGGCGGAGCCCGGCAGCGGGCTCGGGGCGTGGCGGCTCTCCAGGGGACCTCAGCGTGCCTGTCGATCGAGCCGCCGCCGACGGGCGAGGAGCCACCCGTGGCGCTGTCCTTGGAGGAGGAGGCCCGTGCGCAGCTCAAGCAGGTGCGGACTCGGCGAGATGGAGCATCCGTTCGCTGAGCACTTCGGCCTGAGGGAAGGGGACTTCGCGGTGGTGGAGTACAACTGCAGGCCGCGGGACTTGCGGCACGAGCGCTGCGTCGTCCTCCTCCCCGAGGGGGGAACCGAGCAGGTGGGTGTGGTGACGCCGGACGGGGACTGCTACCTGGAGACATGGGCGTTGCCAGAGGTAGCTTCGTGGACCCGCCTGCCCAACGGCTCCCAGGGCGGAGATCTTGGGGATCCGAGTCTCCGGTGCTACCGCTTCCGCCAGGTGCCGTTGGCGCAGGAGCTGGGGGCCCAGAGGGATGCCTTGGCGCGCCAATGCCGACTTCCCCGCCTGGGCTGCCGCTGGTGCCGAACGTCGGGCTGGCGATCGCGGCCTTGGCGGCCCCGCTGCCCTTGCCTCTGCAAGTCGAAGGGCCACCGACGCCCCGCGGAGAGGCAGGGGCTCCGGCTGGCGCCGCCGTTGGCGATGGGCCGGGCGCGGGCCGACCTCCAGGCAGGTGGGTTACCACCGAGGAGTGGCATGGCATTGCGCGGCTGACCCCCTGGGAGGCCCCGCCCGCCGCCTGCGCGGTCGGCGACCGCGCCCTGGTCCAGCGCGCGGGGAGGCCGCTGGTGCTGATGCAGGTAGCGGACGAGGCGGCCCGAGGGCTTGCGGGTCCGGAGCCTGGCGCCACGTCAGCGCGGGGGCCCCCCCGCGAGGAGGGCGACGACGACTTCCGCACGCTGTCCGTGGTGTGGGATCGGATAAACGAGCGACACCGCACCTGGGAGAGCGTGGTGGAGAACCTCAGCGAGAAGAGCTTCACCGACTGGCCGCTGATGGGGCCGCGGACGGCCGTGTGGCTGTGCCGCCACATCCGCCTCGACGGCGGGAGCCCAACGGCCTTCTTCACACGAGTGGTGCGCTACATGAAGATGGCCGAGAATGATCGAAGTGCCCGCGAGCTCGAGGTGCTGCTCAATGTGATGGAGCTGGCGGGCACCGTCGACCAGCTGAACATCGGCAACCTGGCGTGCATGGAGCTGGTGGGCAGGTGGGTCCAGCTGATCATGGACGCGAACTCGGGCGGTGGCGCCGCCGTCTGGGAAGGTTCCGAGCACTTCATGGGCCTCGGGCGCAGGGCGCGAGGTATCGCCCCGGCTCTTCAGAGCCACGTGGCCGCCAGGCTCAAAGACGAAGCAGAGGTCGACAAGCAGCGCGACAAGGCGCGCGAGGCCCGCCAGCTTCGTGGAGGAAAGCCTGGCGGCGACAAGGGGCAGCTACAGGAGGAGTGGGGGGGTCGCCCGACCCTCGCTCCAGTCCAGGGCGAGGGGCCAGACGCGTCACATCTTGGCGCATAGGGACGCCGTCTTTTTAGTGTTTTCCGTCTTCAGTTGCGGGCCGGAGATGGAGCATGGTTGGGCTAAGCGGGGGTGCGATAGTCTGGGCTCTTGGCTCCCGGGCGAAGTTTTTCTTTTTTAACTTCCAGGTGTCGAAGCCCCGCCTCGTTTTGGTCTCTCCCGAAGCTGCGTTCAGCGTGTGCAGGCGCGCAGGCGACAGCAGAGTGTAGCGGGGGAGGCGTGCGAAGCTTTGAACTGGATGGCGGGCGCGCTGCCGCCCCCGCAGGAGGTCGTGTGCAAAGACGTAGGCTTCCTTGCCTCGCACTACGCTGACGCCGCTTTTGCCGTGCCTTCTGAAGCAGCTCGCTCGCTTCTCCGGCATAAAGCGGGCTACGGCCCGTCTGACAGCCCGGTGCGCCCGTTCGTGAAGGGCCCCGTGTCGTTGCCAGCCGATGCAGCCGACTGCCCTTTGGCGGCTGAGGTGCTGGGCGAGCGAGAGCGTTCGATGCTCGAACGGCTGCCGATATATTTTCTCCGTGATGAGGAAGAGATGAGGTCTGGGCTTCCAGTGAAGCCCTATATGGACCCCCGGCTCCGAGGGGGTAGTCGGGCCTATGTAGATTTTGTGAGAGAGCTGCAAAGTAGGGGCATAGTCACCTGGCGACGGCAGCGCCGGGCAGAGTGTGCCATGTTTTTTGTTGCTGAGAAAGACGGTCGGCTCCGTCTGATAGTTGATGCGCGTGCAGCAAATCAAAAATTCAGGGCCCCCCGGGAGTGGCATCAGTCGAGAACTTCGCCAGCGTCGAGGTGGGGCCCAAAGATACCCGGTACATATCTAAAGGGGATGTCTGTAACTGTTTTTATAGGCTCGGCATCGACGGCCCTCTGTGCGAGTTTTTTGGTTTCCCTCCTATTGAAGCTGGGGCTCTGGGGATTGGACTTGTGGAAGGGGCCCCAGTGGCCCGCGACGAGTTTGTGTATCCGTGCCTCAGGGTATTGCCGATGGGATTTACGTGGAGCTTATTCTTCGCGCAGAGGGCCGTGCAGAACACCGTGTATAAGGTGCCGCGCCTGTGCCCCGAGAATGCCCTCGAGAACCGCTCGTGCAACGCCGTTTTCGACACCAAGGGGATAAGCTTGGCTCATTACGTATATGTTGACAACGTCGGGGTCCTGGGTTTGGAGGCAAACGAGGTTCAGCAGGTCCGGGATGCCGCGACCAGGGCTCTGGACGAAGTCGGATTGATCACACACGAGCTCACCGCATCTACTCATGTCGACGAAGCTCTCGGAGTGGTTATCGACGGGGAAAAGGGGGTAATACGTTCAAGTGAGAGACGGTATAGTCGTCTACGCGGAGCTCTCCAGTGGGCTCTGAGCAGGAGGAGATTGAGCGGCGCACAGTTGGAAATGCTTGTGGGTCACCTCACCTTTGCCTTCCTGATGCGTCGCCCGCTATTGTCAGTCTTTGGGGCCACCTACCGCTTCATCCGTCATAACTATCAGTGTGAATGGACTCTGTGGCCGAGTGTGTATGCTGAGCTGGAGGCCGCCTACCGTATGTTGCCTCTGTGTGTAGCCGAGCTTCGCCTGCCCTGGAGCCCCCGAGCTTTCGCCTACGATGCGTGCGCCAGTGGCATGGGGGTGGTGCAGACGGAGTGGAAGGAGGCGCAGGTGCAGCAGGTGGGGAGGCTGGCGGAGCGTTTCAGATTCAGATACGCGGGCCTTGGGGGACATCGCGATCGGGCCCTGGGGCTGGCTGTCTTGGACCCCTTCTCAGACCCTGTGACGGCGATCGGGGCCTCCACCTCGGGTTGCGAGCTCTGGGGGGAGGGCCCAGTTTTCGAGGACATGCCGAAAGCGTGGATTCAGAAGTCTGTTTGGGAGCATATCTATAGTGGGCGTTTTCGGGTGAAATAATGCCGTGCTTCCCTGTGGTGCCTGAGGCGTTTCTGCAAGGCTCGGTCAGGACGTGCGACTCGGGTTCTTCTCCTGGGCGATAACCTCAGTGCCATTTTGGCTCACTCAAAAGGTCGGACAACCAGCTGGCAACTGCTCGTGCTGTGTCGAAGGCGATGCGCTCTCCAGCTGGGCCGCCGACTCGTCGCGGTTGATCGCTGGATCCCTTCGGAGCCCAACCCCGCGGATGCAGCCAGCCGCGTCTTTCGAGAAGCGAAAGTCGCCGAGAGACAAGGCGTCTGACAATGGTCTCCCTCGCCCTGGTGAAGCCGCTGGAGGGCGCGCTGCGGGCGGGCTGGGTGCCTGTGGCACGGCCAAGCGCGGAGCCTTCGGCCCGCCGCCTGGCCTCGACGCCCCCGCCTGGCCCGCCGCCAGAGGAGGCCGTGCCCCTGGCAAAGACGGCGGGCCAGCCAGAGAGCTCTGGACAGACGGCGGAGGCGCGGAAGGCACGCGCAGCCGAGCTGGGCCGCTGGCAGACGTGCTTCGCCGCGGGCCTCGAGTCCGACGAGAGCTTCCTGGTGGGAGGTGCCGTGACCGAGGGTACCTGCCAGCGATGCGCGGAGCACGTGAGAGACTTCCAGAACCACGTCGGGATCCAGAAGTGGAACGAGCTGAGCGACAGGGACCTCGACGCCCTGGTGGTCGCCCGCCTGGAGGAGATGTTCTTGGAGGGGGCCGCCAGCCACCGCGGGAGCTACCTGCTGGCGGCCCTGGAGGCCTTCGCACCCGCGCTGGGGCGACGCGGCGAGCGGCAGCTGCCGCGAGCACGGCGCGCCCTCGTGGGATGGCAGAGGCTCTGCCCAGGCCACTCTCGGCCTCCCCGTGCGTGGGCGGTGATATGCGGGCTGGCGGTGTGGCTGCTGCAACGGGGGCTCCCTCTGATGGGGCTCTGGTGCGTCGTGACCGGCAGCCTGTACCTGCGGCCGGGAGGGGGCCTGGCGCTGAGAGGGGTGGATTTCTTCCCTCCGACAGGGCGGAGCTCCCCGACCTGGTTAGTTCCGATCCGACCAAGGGAGCTCAACATCCCCACCAAGACCAGAGACTTCGACGACTCCGTGCGGAGGGGCGTGCCCGAGTTACAATGGGTGGCCCGCTACTTCGAAGAGTGGCGGGCGGCAAGGGAGACGAAGGTGTGGGCCTTCGACTGCAGCGACCTGGCCCGAGAGATCCGCCACGCCGCCGAGGCCCTCGACATCGACGACCTGGCGCCCTGCTCCATGCGGCACACAGGGGCATCGTGGGGCGTCGCAGTGGGTCGGAGGTCGCTGAACGAGGGTCAGAAGAGGGGCCGTTGGAGGTCCCGCCGCAGTGTCGCCAGATACGAAAAGGCCGGCCAGGTCTCAAAGGGCTTTCCCAAGCTACGGCCAGACGTGCGACGGAAAATGCAGTGGTGCGAAGCAAATTTGGAGCTGGTGTTCAGCAGGGCCGTGAGAGGCCCTTGGTGATGCTTGATCTGTTTGCTGGCGTGGCTCGCGTGTCCAAGGCTTTCTCGCGGCTCGGGCGCATCGCAGAGATTTTTGATTTCAAAAGCGGGCGAGCTATTGATATCTCAGACAAGCGCGTCCTGAATCACCTGCTCCACACAGTTCGACGCAGCTCTTTTGATGGCGTGATGGTGGCCCCACCATGCACAACCTTCAGTATCGCCCGTCACCCAGCCCTGCGCCTGACCGCCTGTCCTTGGGGGATCCCCGAGGCTGCAGGGCACCCGCAATTGGTGCAGGCGAATTTGGTGACGAGGGCCACGCTGCGGGTAATGCGAAGCTGCTGGTCTCGCAAGATCCCGTTTGCCGTCGAGAACCCGCAGACCAGTTTGTTTTTGAAGCTGCCGGAGATTGCCCACCTTACATCCACTAAGAATAGCTACCTGATGATCACCGACCTGTGCCAGTGGGGGGCCCCATTGAAGAAACCGACCACCGTCTGATTCGCTTTTCCGACAAGTCCTTGACCGAAGTTGGTGCCCGACGCTGTCATCCTCGAGGTTGTATTTGCAGCCGGTCCGGGAAGCCCCATGTCGGGCTGTCTGGGAAGGTCCCTGGCGGGCCCTGGCGTACGTTGATCGCACAAGCCTATCCCGAGAGGTTCGCGGACTTCCTTGCCTCGGTGTTTGACAACCAACTTCGATATGATCGCTTACGCAGGTCAAATATTTTGGGTTTGGGTGGAGCTGGCCAGCTTAAGATGGGTTTCTCCGTCTTCTACCTGGGCCCATTGGCCCTCATGCAACGCCGTCGAACAGAAGGATTCCCTGCCCCAGCCAGAACAAGAGATCATGTTTGTGCGTGCGCGGTAATGATTGGTTTTCTGGCGTATCTGGCGAGAACAACACCTTTCACGATTGTATGATCGTATACGTGTATGCTCAAGCTCGTCCTGCACCCGCCGTCCATCCCCAAACAACCCCCAGCTTCTCTCTCCTCTCGCGCTTCGCTTGCTCAGAAACTTTTGTCTCTGCCAACTCACTCATCTACTTTGGGTGGAGCTGGCCAGCTTTAAGATGGGTTTCTCCGTCTTCTACCTGGGCCCATCGGCCTTCAGTGCAACGCCGTCGAACAGAAGGATTCCCTGCCTCAGCCAGAAAAAAAGAGATCATAAACATATGTGTGCATGTACTTCCCTCCCTCCCTCCATCCCTCGGTCATACCTCCCTCTTGCTCTTGGCGTGAGGCGGCTGGACGAGAGCGCCAGCTTCTGCCTCGCGGCCCTGGCCGTCGGCCGCGCCCGTCGCCGCTCCGCGCCCGCGAGCTGCGCGAACGCCCCCGTCCGTCTTTCCTCACACTCCTTCCTTCCTCTCTCTTTATCCGTCCTCTCCCTCCCTCCTCCCTCCTCCCTCCCTCCCTCCTCATTTCCCAGCCTCTCTCCTTCATCCATCCCAGTTCAAGGGTCGGACCCCCCCTGGTGATATTCGCAGGGTTCCTCAGTGAGAATTCCTTTAGGAACGATGCTTTGTACATATTTCTTCAGTATTGCTTCATTCGTGAGACTGCCTTTGATCAATGGGGTCTTGAGTAAGTTTCTTTTTTGGGGTACCCCCTAGTGAGGATGCCTGTAGCAAGCATTTGTTAGCGAGGAATCCTTAGTAAGGGTCCCTTCAGTGGGGAGTCCTTATGGAAGATGCTTTGAGGAAGGATCCATTCGCTAAGGGTCCCTGTGATAAGGGTTAGTTGCACATACTTCCTTTAGTATGGGGCCCCTTGACACGAATGCCTTTATTATAGGATTCGGCGTACTCGTGTTGCTTTGTACGGCCCCCTTTGGGAAATTCATTTGGTAGGTGTCCTCTCGGTAAGGACCCCCGTGGCAATGATCCGCTTCTGGTTATTCCTTGAATTATTGTTCCTTCAAGAGGGATGCGGGTCCCTGGGCAATTCTGTTTTTGAAAGGGATCCTTTGTGCGAGTGGTTTTACTGAGACCTCTTTTTCTGTGAGTGCCTTTAGTAAAGACCCCTTCAGTAAGGACACCCTGTAGTATGGACTCCTCTGTAATGCTTCCTTTGGTAAAAAGGGTTCCTTACCATGTATGCCTTTTACAATGGGTCCCGAGTAAGGTAATGATGCCTTGAGTAATCCCCCCCCATCAGGCAGGATCCCTGTAGCAAGGATTAATTGCTTATGCGTTTTTTTTATTCAGGTCCCCTTGGTAAAGATGCCTTTAGTATTTGATCCTTCGTAAGAGCGCTTTTAGTGAAGCCTCCTCGAGGGGGATTCCTTTCGTGCGGGTCCTCTCTGTGAGAACCTCGTTAGTACTGTTCCTGTGGGACTGCTTTAGTACATGTTCGTTACGAAGGATGCGGGTTCACAGGCTAGGATATCAAATTCATGGACCCTTACTACGGGAACTTGTAGTGAGGTCTCCTTAGTGGGGATACCCCCACTAAGAATCCCTTCTGTAAGGGCCCTCTGTAGTAAGGACTCCTTTGTAATGTTTCATTCAGCCAGGGTTCCGTACGATGGATGCCGTCAGCAAGGGATCCATAATACTGTAAGGATGCTTGTGGTGCAGATCCCCGCAGTCAGGGCCCCTGTAGGAAGGATTCATTATTCATGCGTCCTGTAGCACGGGCCCAGGCCTTTTTACAAGAGGATCCTTAGTAAGAGTGTTTTAGTGAGGCCTCGACAGGGGGGATTCCATTAGTGCGTGTTCTCTCGGTAAAGGCCCCAGTCGTACTGATCCGTTTACGATTATTTCTTGTAGTGAGAAGGGTGCGGGTTCCTGAGCCAGGATATCTGACGAATGGGTCCTTAGCACGGATGCTTTCAATGAGGCCTCCTTAGGGGGGGTGCCTTTTTTGTTGCAAAGATCCCCAGGGTCCTCTGTAATAAAGGGTTCCTTTTGCAACATTCCTTGAGTCGGGTTACCATGGATTCCGTCTGTAAATGGTCCTGTGGAAAGAATATACGGGTAAAAATCTCACCAGTCCTCTGGGCGTCGGTGGTTTAGGGAGTTTCCTCTTCCGCCTCTCCTTCTTCCCCTTCGGGGAGGGGTTTACCCCTCCCCCTACCCCCTCCCCGTCGACCTGGACAGGGGATTTCGCGAGGTGTTGGAGCGTCCAAAACGGCCTCGGCGAGGAAGCCAAAATCATTGGTTTTACCAAGGTTTTGGCCCCATGTTAGCCTCCTGAAAGGAGGGGGCCCTGATCAACGCCCCCCCCTCCTGTGATCGATCCTACCCAAGATGACCCAAATGTGGCACCCAAGGCTCCCAGGGGTGCCCCGAGAGGGCCCCGAGAGGTGGCCAGGAAGCCCCGAGAGGCCCGCAAGATGCCCCCAAACTGCTCCCAAGAGACCCCCAAGAGGCACCCATGATGCTCCGAGAGGCCTCGGCGAGAATGCCAAATCATTGATTTTACTAAGGTTTTGGCCACATGTTGGCCTCTGTGGGGGGGCACTGATTAAGATGACTCCAAGAGCGCCTGGGAGAGCCCAAGATGACTTCCAAGATAGCTCAAGATATCCCAAGATGTTTCATAATGGCTCCCACGATGCTCCAAGATGCCCAGGACCGCTCCAAGACGGCTCCCAGTGTCCAAAGAGCCCCCCCAGGAGGCCCCGAAGAGCCCCAAACCTGAGGACATTCTATGTGTTTGGCTTTCTCGCTTTTTCGCTTCCGATGGCCATCCGAGGCCTCGAGATGGCTCCAAGATGGCCCAAGAGGGCTCCAAGAAAGGCTCCAGAGAGCCCCGAGGCGGCCCCAAGAGCGCCTGAGAGCGCTCCAAGAGCGTCCCAAGAGCGCCCCGAGAGGCGATCGTTTGGGCTCCCTAGGGGCAGCGCTAACTAATGCTCGCTTCTTGCTTGATCGATGTCCCCAAGATGGCCCCAAGAGCGCTCCCGAGGCTCCCGAGAGCGCTTCGAGAGGGCCCCCAGAGGCGCCCAGGAGGCCCCAACAGGCGCCCAAGAGGCCTCCAAGATGCTCCCAAGAGGCCCCCAAGAGGCCCCAAGAAGTCGTCCGAGGCACCCAAGACGCTCCAAGAGGCCTCCACTGGGGGACCCTTCCTCTGCGTGCTGCCCACTTCCCTGATCGAGGTAATTCCTTTGGGCCTCGTTTCTGAATGGGCTAGAATTCCTTTGTCACAATGCATGTTGCGTGGGGTGGTGGCAAAGAACAAAGCGGCCATTGCCAAAATGCGTGACATCCCCCCCCACGGCCGGCACCGCCGCTATTGGGATGGGGCTGCGGGAACGGGCGTAGTCTCCTCTCCGCTTAGAATTCCCGTCTAGAAAGGAGAACCCACTTGGCGCTATGTGGCGCGGTGACGGGGCCGCGACGGGGCGGGCGCGGCGGCAGCGAGCGCGACTGCCGTCGCCCAGGCCCAGGCGACGGGCGGCAACGAGACGGCGACGGGGCGGCGAGTGTGTGTGTGTGTGTGTGTGTGTCTGTGTGTCTGTGTGTCTGTGTGTCTGTGTGTGCGTGTGCTTCTAGCAGTTTATTTTGTGCAACGTGCATTGTGCAGTCGATGTGCTATCTATCCTGTGGAATTTATGTGGTGCAATCTATGTGGTGCAGTTCACTTTGACCGTCTTGAAGCTGTCCTCTCTACTGCTCGTGCAAACATCCCACCCTCCCACCCGCAACTTGGTCGCAAGACTTCTTAAGACAAGACCGTGACGGTAGGTACCACATGGCACTTGGCCACGACACCGACGCCGACGACGACAGCGACAACGACGACGACGGCGCCGCAGACACCGACTACGACGACACCGCCGACGTCGACGTCGACGAAGACGACGACGACGCCGACGACGACGACGACGAAGACGACGACGACGTCGCCAACGGAGACGACGACGAGGGAGGAGAAAAAACGACGACGGCGACAACGACGACAACGACGATGGAGGAGGGAAGACGGCGACGACGCGAACGACGAAGAAGGAGGAAGGACGGCGACGCCGACGACGACAACGACGAGGGAGGAGGGAAGACGACGACGACGACAACGACGACGAAGACGACGACGACGGCGACGAAATAGGAGGGACGACGACGAGACGCCGACGACGGACGACGACGACGACGAGGGAGGAGGATAACGACGAGGGAGGAGTGAAGACCACGACGACGACGACGACGACGGCGACGAAATAGGAGGGACAACGACGAGGCGCCGACGAAGACGACGAGGGAGGAAGGACGACCACGGCGACAACGACGACGGAAGCGACGACGACGCCAAGACGACGACGACGACGACGACGAGGAAAGACAGAAGACGACGACGACGACGACGACGAGGGAGGAGGGAGGACGACGACGACGACGCAAGAGCGCGCGCGCACGCTTTTGTTGAAAACCCGTGTTGCGAAACCTTGTGTTTTTTGTAGGTTTTTTGGACACACGATTTTGGAGTCCTTCCGACACCGAAGGTTTTTGAAGGATTTCGGCATACGCGCGGGACTTCGCGCGCGTCTGCACTTCGTCCCATTTTTTGCAGAGGATTCTCGCGACAGCACACGCGCAAGGGCGTTCGACAGATTTCGACATGCGCTCGCGAAGCCCGTTTGGTAGCATTTTGTGAAAATCTTGAAAAACCCATGGTTTTCTTAAGATTTCGCAAGAGCTCGCGCGTAAGCTTTTTTAGCAAATCAGTGTTGCGAAACCCGGTGTTTTTGTAGGTTTTTTGGAAATTAAATTTTGAAAGATTTTTGAAGGATTTCGGCATGCGCGCGCGACGACGCGCGCGTGTGCACTTCGTCCCGTTTTTTGCAAGGGATTCGCGACAAAGTCTTATGTAAGAGGAAAAATGTCACCGCTTAATGTTTTTTACAAGGGAACCTCAGGGGGGGGAACCCGGTTTGGCTGGGATGGTATGATTTCATATTTGGGATGGACGAGTGTGCATAATATATATGAACTCTATTATCCGAGGGGGAACCGATAAGTCCGGGGGGGGGGGGAGGTGGGTAGGATCTATTAATCTTTTAGAAAGGAGAATCTTTATTGTGCAATATATGTCGTCAGATCTATGCGCAGAGGCCCTCGGATCCCAGAGAGAATTCTCCGTCGTCGGCGGTGTCGCCGTCGTCGTCGTCGTCGTCGTCGTCGTCGTCGTCGACGCCGTCCCCGCCCCGGTCGCCCCTCGGGTCTTGGGCCGTCTTGGGCGGTTTGGGGGGCTGTCTGCGGACCATCTTCGGCTGCCTGGGGGCCTCTTGGAGGCCTCTTGGGGGCCTGTGGGGGGCCCCTTGGAGCATTCTGGATGCTTTGGGGGGCCTTCTTGGGGTCTCCTAGGGCTCTCTTTGGGGAGGAAGGCTGGA